GTCCTCTGTTACAAGGGTGGAAATGTGGCTTGGAACATTTCCTAAAAGAAGGAGGAAAACATTTCCAAAGGAAACATCCAGCCACTTGATGACTCTGACTCCGACTCCAAATTAGCTCATGCTCCATTAAAACTCTATTTTTTAAACATTTAAAGTGAATCCCACGTTTATAACAGCTGCAGTCTCTTTTACTCCCACAGCCTGTGCACTCTGAGCACTGTTTGTACTTGTCCTGATGGGTTTATTTTCCAGCTGGGCTGTGTATGGATGGAAATATCTTTGCTGAGTATTTCTAGGTGTGAACCATATCAGATCAGGCAAGGTCATGATCAGTAGTAAAAAATGTCCAGTTGGAATGAAATTTGCACTGACTTTACTTGGAGGAAACTTTAAAGTCTTAAAAATTCTTTCTTCACAGTATATCTGCATATTCATACTTTATTCTAATTCACTCTCTGCTTTTGTTATTTTAGTACCATGGGCTGAATATTTGTGTTCTTCCAAAATTCATACATTGAAAGAAGGACAAAGTGGAGTGGTGCATGTCTATAATCCCAGTTCCCCAAGAGTCTGAAGCAGAAGGATTGCAAGTCTGAGACCATCCTGGACAGCTTAGCAAGACCCTTTCTCAGAACAAATGCAGCTCAGTGGTAGCTTGCTCTCGGGTCACATAACCAGTAACACACACGCATGCACACTCACCAAACGCATATGTCAAACTGGGTCTTTGAAGTGGTGAGCAAGTTATTAATCCCCTCAACAGCTGTCTCACATCAGTGGTGTGAGAGTCTGTTGCTCCATATCCTTCCGCGCTTTTCCACTAAGAAGCAGCACAGCCATTGCGGGGTCCCTTACCATGCCGGTCTGGAAGAAAAATTGGCAATCACTCCCCACTCCTTGTGAGAAACTTGCTGTAAATAACTTCTTTGTAACTATGAGGTTTGTGCTCATCCCCTGAGCCACTGGAATATGCAAGGCAATGAGAAGTTCTTGGGAAAGTTTCCCGTTACCTCCTGCTTCTTTGCAAACCTTACCTTGCTGTGTGGATAGGTTTTGCACATCCATTCAAGTGGCCATGGTGGTCCCATTTTGGCCAAGCGGTTTTCAGTATGTTTTCTTGGAGATGGTGTTTAGAGGAGACTACCTTTTAAATTGGTGGATTTGTGTAACGGTGGTTGCCTTCCAGGATGTGAGAGGCTTTGACAAAGAAAGTCTGAAAGAGAGGGTGCTGCCTTCAAACTGACTTTGGGCCAGAACTCCAAATCTTCTCTGGAGAACCCTGGATGATACACTTACTTAACCCTCACAGCCATGGTAAATGTTGCCATCACGTTACCACATGGTTAAACTGGAGCTCAGCAGGGTGGGGTGATATTTCCAAGATTTTACCATTCATATGTGGCAGGACCAGTATTTGAATCTGTGCCCTCTCCACATCAGTGCTTTAACTGCTATGCTATATATTCAACTACCTTGCTGTTCTGTGCCATCCTGCATTACACTCATACAGCTTGGAAGTACGTGCAAAGACCCGGGGGCACTGTCCCTTCCAGTGCAGGGTTAGACTTACATATTGGAGCTTGCATGACTGCAGATGTGAAGTCATGTGAGTAACAATATCAAAGATCCTGTACCTGGGAGATGGCCAATGATTGTCATTTTGGATTTCAAGCAGAGAATAGCTGTTGCTCCAAAGCTCTTTTTTTTTGAATCTCTTTGTGGTACTGGGGATTGAACCCAAGGTTTTCACACTGAGCTGCATCCCCAGCCCTTTTTAAATATGTTTGGGTTTTTTCTCTACATTTCAAGACAGGGTCTCCCTAAGTCACTAAGCTACTTAGGTTAGGCAAGAACCTGCAATCCTCCCAGAATAGGTCTCCTAGAAGCTGGGATTACAGTACAGCTGTGTGCCACCACGTCCAGCTTCCTCAAAGGTTGTTAACATCACTCTTCTTCACTGCTTTGAATCAACATATATAACCCAACTATCTAAGAGTACACTACAGATTACACTGTGTTCATTATATAAAAAATTATAATGAATGAAAAAAATGCATCTTCAATTTTTGCTCTTCCAAAAAATAAAAAATATTTTATTTTTAAATTTTATTTCCAGTGTGGCTTCATAAACATTTCATTTGCAAGTTGTAATTACAGTGGAAGTACAATTTTATATTCTCTTTTGGTTAAAAAAAAAAAAGTATTTTAAGGGGCCAGGGATTTAGTTCAGTGGTGCCGCCACCTGCCTTGCAAGCACAAGGACCCATGTTCAATCCCTGGTACCAAAAAAAAAAAAGTATTTTAATAGAGATAAGAAGTGTTTTCCTTTTCTTGAATTCCAGAGGGAAATTCCAGCAAAGGAAAAAAAAAATGGTGTTTAGGTGTTCCTGAAATTTGAGTTCTCTGTAACCAGATCTAAGGACAAAAATAAATACAAGTTGTCCTGGTCAATAAGACCACTTTCCGATTTAGTTCCTGTAATTAGAACCTACTTTCCATTCCAAGTGTGTAAAGGAGACTCTAGGAAACCTGGCAACAATATCTGCTCTGCAACCTACTGGGGACATTGTCTTCTCTAAATTCACACTTTAGTCACTGCGTAGATTTCCCAGCTACCTCTGGTTTGCAAAATCACACTGAGAATCACCAGGAAGATGGACTGAAACCAAATTTTCTGTCAAATGAAAAAGGCAAGTTCAAATAAAAGTGAGATCCCAGAAAGGCACAAAAGGCATGCAGCATAGCAGCAGAAGGGTGTTATCCTTTCTTCCTTCTTCCACTGACAAAAACATGCACCGATACTGAAGTGTTGCAGTCTGCTTAGCAGAGGCTGAGCTTCCGGGCTGTGTACACTGCTGGGTATCATGTGGCCATCTGTTCTGGTCCTGTGGAAGCTGGGGCTCCTGGGGGAAGCATGAATGTTCACAACCCCAGCAGTGTCTCTGCAAAATGGGCTAAATCAGTTGGGACAATAAAGGCGCAGGTAGGAGTGTGATGGATGCCGCCTCCAGCAGGTCTGGGAAGACTGTGACATCTTCACTAACAACCCTGCAGAGAGTGGCAGTGGCTCATTAATGGGATCCACAGATGAAGCAGAATGATTGACTGGATGCAAGAAAGCAAAGGAATCAGTAATATCAGTAAAATGAGATGCAACTCATGGAAAAGCTTACTCATCCTTGACAAAAGATCGCCGCCAGAAGTCATTAAGGGGAGTGATCCATCCAGAAAGTTTCAGTGCCAGCAGAGGCCTGGAGGTGATGCTGGAAGAGGGTTCCCGAGGTGGGAGGTGGAGCCAGAATGACTGGAGCTTCTCCCTAGAAAGCTCCAACATTTGGCCGGGTTCTTGTGCTTCCCACAGCCCCTGATTCCAGCCAGAGTCCCTGAAGTGTGTTCTTCCCGCCTGGCGGCTGGCCTGTCCTCCTGTCTGGCTCTGGCTAGCACAGCAGCTCCAGATGGGCTTCCATTACCTTTCCACCAGGCAAAAGCTAATGGTGTGCAACTCTCCAAGCCTCTGGGACCAATAATTAGACCAACCAGAGTATGGGTCCAGCACCTATGTGGAGAGTTGGACAGTGTCCAGTGCAGGTCAGGAAATGACGTCTTCATCCTTGACCTGGACCCCCACCTTAACACAGGGAGTGCCCAGTGCACCCACAGCCCCTGGCACCCCCATGGCTTCACCCCTGGGCCAGTCAAGTCTTCAAAGCAGCAGCACTCTGAGCTCCTACCCTGGCATCCTGTGTCCCCTTCACAGGCCTGAAGAGCCCAAGTGTGCACCAGGAAAAATCCATGACTAAAAAGGCCTGACAGCAGCCATGTATTTCTTCCAGTCACGGGAGGGAGCTTTCCCCTCAGGCTCCAGCATAGGTCCTTCTCTCCTCCCTCCTTACCATCCTGATGAAGTGCAGCCAAACCTCCTAACCTCCTTTGAGAGGAGGCCTCAGGTCCAGGATTAACAGCAGTCTCTCCCTGGAGTAGTGGTCCCAGCCCTGGAGCACAGCCAGACGCTGGACAGCGAGGTGGCTTCTCCTTAGGAGCCAATTGTCCTGACTGAATGAGATTTCCCCACGTCGTTTCCTTCAGCCTTCTAGTTTACGGTGATTTAACATCTGGGAGAGCCATGGATTCCTAGGCTAGCCTGGAGTGAACTGTCCTTCATGATTGCATTATCAGAGGAAACAGCAGCGGTGGGCAGGGCTGGCCTGGTTCTCTGCACTGTTAATGGAAAGTGTCACCAGTGTGGCCAAAGACTTCAGACCCCTGATGGCATCTGCCCTGAGAGCCGAGACCCCGCTGCAGCCCTTCGCTTTGCTGCTGGGCGAGGCGAGGACTGGTGTTCGGGCGCCGCCTCTGGGAATCCCTATGCTGTGAGGTGCCCCTGGCACTATGGACAGTGGCCCCGGAAGACCCAGGGTCAGATGTTCCCTGGCCACCTCGTTCCTAGCCTTCTGACCGCAGGAAGCACAACCTTCCACCCTGCCTCATTGCACTCATCTTGGGGCCTTTGCTGGGGGCTAGGACGACGCCGACCCACCTGGATTGGCCGCTGGGTGCACACCTCCAAGCTTTCGGGACTCGAGAGGAGGAGGCGAGGCAGGAAGCTGCGAAGGCCTGTGCGTACCTGGCTCTTCTGCAGGTAAATCTGTGGTTTCCAGGGGCTGAATTCACATCTCACCTCTACCAGCCTGTCCATCCTGGGAAACTGCAAAACACTTGAGAAACCTGAGGACGGGGGTGGCGGCTCACCACGTGTCCAGGGTAGATGTTTCCTTCTGATCACTTCTTTCAGAAATAAACAAACGAGGCCTGGCATGGTGGCTCACGCCTGTAATCCCAGCACTCAGGAGGCTGAGGCAGGAGGATCGCTGTGAGTTCGAGAGCAGCCTGGACTACATACTGAGTTTCAGGTCAGTCTCAACTACATAGTGAGACCCTGTCTCAAAAAACCAAGAAACAAACAAAATAGAACAAACGAATAGCGCCGAACACAACTGCAGCAGGAATCAGCAGAAAGTGTGCTTGCGAGTGTGTCTGAGTGTGTGCACCGCAGGATAGGCTTATAGTCAGATGCCCCGGAAAGTTCCAAGGGACATGAAAATGTAGCTCCTGTGAGCCTCTCAGAGCAGCCACCCTCCCCCTCTGGGAGTTGGACCGCAGCAAACCCAGAAGCCGTACAGTCTTTACTGAAGCAATGAGGCGCTGGATATTTCTCCACGTACAAAGGGGTTTCATTACTTACTTATTTTATCCATACAGCATTTGTGTAGCATTAACTATCCAGAAAACAGCACTGACCATTTATTTACCTGAAAGATAGGAAAGGGTGCCGGCTAGATAGTTCAGCCTCTTTGCAATTTAGGAATATGCTAAGGGCATTTTATGAAACAGTGAATTGAGGAGGGGTCTTGCTATGTTGTCCCGCTTGGCTCCAAACTCTTGGGTTCAGCTGCTCCTCCTGTCTCCGTTTCGTCGGTAGCTGAGGTTACAGGCGCACAGCACCGCGCTCAGCCATTTCACTGGATTCTGGTAATCACTGCATGATTAAGAGAAAGAATTGACAGATTTAACAAATAAACACACAGGGCACTCACTCAATTTTGATTTTCAGATAAACAAAAAAATATTGCCTAGAAGGTACTTATACTAGAAAAATTCATCTGAATTTTTAAATTTAAATTTTATCACTACATACTTCAGTACATAATGATTACATTCGTGGGGAGTTGATCCATGTACAGAGCACATCCTGTTTCATTTTTCCATCTCCTTTCCTTCCTCTCCTCCCTCCCACCATTTCTTGGTCCCTTCCGTTTTGTAGGAGGTCCATCTCCTCGTGTCCTAATTTTTAAAGTTTGCTCTTTAGTTCGTTTGTGTTTTGGGTTTCTCCCATAAGAAAAACCATCTGATATTTAAGCTTTGAAATTTGAATTTAACTGACCATATCATATTTTATTTGGCAATTCTATAAAAAAAAGTCAGGCTGGACCCTGTCTCAAAAAGAAGGAGGAGGAGGAAAAGGAGAAGGAGGAAGAGGAGAAGAGTATCGAAGAAAAGACCACTTTCTCCTGAATGAGTGTGTGTGCGTCACTGTGTCTGAAATACCCTGTCCGGGCTGCTCCTGGACGGCTCTTAGAACCATTCAGACACCTTCGGGGTACAGACAGGGAGAGAAGACTGCCTGCTGTGGCTGCTCTCTGGATGTGACAACTTGCTGCTCTTTACTCTTTGCTATGTTTGTAATAACTCGTCCTACAGGGTTCTTCCAGGCCTTATTTGCCATAGCAAATTACATAAATATGTGTACAGCAAAACTATTTGGGAACTTAGAGTGTTCCTGACACAGAGATAGATACGACAGCCCCCCTGATCTGATCATTACACCTTGCATATGCATTGAGATGTCACATTGTACCCCACATGTATAATTATGCATCAATTAAAAATAAAAATATATAAAATTCTCAGAAGAAGAAATGATTGCATGCTGCTATTTGGAACAGATTATAATATTCCAATTGTGTCTGAGAAAAGATTTGGTACCAGGGATTGAACCCAGTGATACTTTATGAGCTCTATCCATGTGTGTATACTCCTGCCTCAGCCTCCCTAAGTGCTGGGTTTGCAGATATGTGCCACCATGCCCAGATTGTTGTTGCTTTTTAAGCCAAGTTTCTGAATCAGGCAGGTGGCATTGTTGTACTTAATGTTAAGATGAGCATCCTGAATTTACTTTTTAAATGCTTTTCTCACTGTTCTTAAGAAGTTTTTGAGAATTGCCCTTATTCTAGGAAATTAGTATTTATTTTTGACTTCGCACTAAAGAAGAAAGTTACATTTTTATGTGTTTTAAAGCCACCTTCTTTACATATTTTATAAAGGAGTATTTAGCCAATATATGTATTGAAAATGTTTATAATTACTAGCAATAAAATATTGGAAAACTGCCTAAATTAAGAAAAAAGATAACAGCTTCAATGACATTCTAAGACTTGAAATACTTAGTGATAAATTTAGCATAGTACAGTCTAGATCTGTACCAAAACCAAAACCCAACATGAAGATGAAAGAAAACAAAAATGCCCAAAAAACATTAATAGGGAAACTAAAAACCTATATAAATGGATATATATGTTATTTATTGTATATACATATATAATCTTCATGGATTGGTAGATACCATATTGCTAGAAATTATTTTTTTTAAATCTGACTTTGTAGAAACTGATCTTGCTAAATTCACTTATTATTTCTAATAGCTTTTTTGAAGGTTCTTAAGGATGTTTTTTACATACAAGACCATGGAACCTGCCAATGAAGACACCCTGACTTCATCTTTCCTAATGCATTTACATGATTTCTTTTTGTTGTCTTATTGCTAGGACATGGTTAAATAAAATTTTAAGAGAGACTTTCTGTGCCTATCTATATGATGGAAATAATCATTAATCATTGATTGTTATGCTAATAGTAGTTTTAATATAAGCATACTTTATCAGGTTCAAGGAAGTTAGTTCCCTTCAATGACTACTTCACCAAGGATCTTTGTTTATCTTGAATGAGTGTTAAATTTTTTAAATGCTCACTGCATCTTTGAGATGTTTGTTTCTTTTCCTCCTTCTAGCACAATGAACTACCTAGTGAACTAATGTAGTGAGCTAAGGTAACGATAATTTGTAATGTCAAACTCACGTTACATTGTGGAATACAGACTACATGAGCATATTTACCTAATTACACATAATTGATTTTAATTATATATAATGAATTTCATTTCAGATGTTTGCTTCTGTGAGCAAGTGAGAGTTGGTTCTTTCTCTTTTTTTGTTTGTTTTATGTAATGGCTTTGATTTTGGTAATAGTATAATTTTAGGCTTAGACAAGAGTTGAAAGGAGTAGCTTCCTTTTCTGTTTCAGAAAAATTTTACATAGTGTTGTTTTATGTCTTCCACAAATATTTGATGAAATTTGCTAGTGTTATCCTTGAGCCTGGAGTTGTCTTTGTAGGAATGTTTTAATTATAAATTGAAGTTAATTTATTCAATTTATTGCAATCTACTTCATTGATTTCTGCTCTTTTATTTATTGATTTATTTATATATACCAACCAGGGCTTAATTTGCTTACAGATTTGGCCACAATGTTCATCAGGCAAGATGATGTGAACTATGCTTTTTCATTGTGTACGGTTTCTTAAGGCAAGGGCCAGTGCAGGCCAGATGGGGTTCTGAGTGAAGAGAAGGGGTTATGTGGGCTACAGGCAGCCAACACTGTACTCGGATGATTGGTGGTGGTGACACTGAGCCTTCCAAGTCCCATCCCAGCCATTCTTTTAGCTGATTAAGAGGCTGGCTACAAAAGCAACCTTGCTCCAGCACTCTAATACTCTCCTGACCCCTAGATGATGTTGTTATGCCAAAACAGAGATGGGACAGAATCTGGTTTTGCTGCTGCTCCCAACAAATGACAGAGACTACTGCATGGCCATACCTCAGACTACACAACTGCAATGCCCAAGAGGAGTCAGAGCAGAAGGGTGCAGCCGTTGTGAAGCACTTCAAGATGTAATCCCCAACTGGTGAACCCAGGCTGAGCAGGGTTCTCCCAGAGACCCGTTCAGGCCTCACTCTGAAGGCTTCAGAAATAAGTTCCAACCAAAGCATGACGAGCTGTTAGCAGCGACGCCAGCACTGCCTTGTTAGTTAACAGGATGCACAGAGTTGTTGGCATGTTTGCTACCACTGGTTTACTTATGGTGAACTTACGTAACTTTGGCCAAGTAAGTTTCTTTCTCTCTTTCTCTCTTTGTGTGCACGTGTGTGTGTGTGTGTGTGTGTGTGTGTGTGTGTGTGTGAGTGTGGCTGGGGATTCAACCCAGGGCCTTGCACATACTAGGCAAATGCTGTGCCACTGAGTTACAGCCTCAGCTCAGCCCTCAGGTGAAGTAAAATATTTCTGATGGCTTTTCTAGTAATATCATTCCCATTATATGATGGCTTGAATACAAACCACATACATATTCAGAGTGTAATTGGCTGTTGGTTTTACAGTCCCTTGATACTCATTCTAGTGAGGTGTGGTTCCTAGGGAAAATCAGAATCAGTGTTCGGCCAGGAGGGGAAGACGAAAGCAGAGAGGCACCAGTGTCCCCCAGGGCAGCATTCAGCCCCCTGGGGCCCTGGCCAGGTCAGCTCATGTGTCTAAGATGCCCAGTGGCTTCTGATGCTCAGCCACACACAGCTCAAAAATGGGGTGACAGTGTTTTCCCCAGGGAAGTCTGCACCCAAAGTAAGAGTCCTACAGTTTCACCTCGTGGAGGAATTGGAATCAGATGGTTAGTCTTAAAAACAAAACAAAACAGGGCTGGGGATTTGGTTCAGTGGTTCTGCCACCTGCTTTGCAAGCTTAAGGTCCTAAGTTTGATCCTGGGTACCAAAACCCAAACAAACAAACAAAAAACCCCCCCAAAACAAAACGGAAATGCCAAAATTTATCACTGTTGATAAGTGTGTAAGAAAGCAACAGCAGCATGAGGTCATCAGTGGAAAATCAGCTTTGGCTGGTGATCTGAAAAGGGGTTTAAAAGAGTATAAAATTCATTAAAACTCTGCAAAATGGAACATTAAAGTATTGAAATGCTTCTGTAAGGTACTAACAAACAGTGCCCCTCTCTTAGGACCTCCTCTCCTAACCCCCAGTAAGAAGGGGTCAAGGCCCAAGGCAGCTGAGAGCTTCTAGAATGAGCCATAGGGCCAGGCTGGGCTTCTCCAGCACAGTTTTAAGGACCATGCCTCATACATTACCCATGGAATTTCAGTTTCACCTCTGGAATCGACCAGATATATCTTGGAGCCAGGCGTGGTGGCGCATGCCTGTAATCCCAGCACTTGTGAGGCTGAGGCAGGAGGATTGCTGTGAGTTCAAGACTAGTCTGAGCTACATAGTGAGTTTGAGGTCAATCTCAACTACATAGTGAGACCCTGTGCCAAAAAAGCAGATATGGTGAGTTTTGCAACATCGCCCCAGCTTGGACTCAGAGCCCCTCTGCTGCATAGCCTGGCCCATTCTACTGGCCTGCTCTGGAGCCATGCCTTTTCCAGCGGGTGCCACTGATTGGTTCCAACTCAGCACCAGGAGGGTAGATGTGCAGGCACTACTGAAAACACTCACCCCAGACCCCTGGCTCTTAGATGCCCTAATTGAGCCAGTCCTTGGACTCACTCTGCAGAGGCATGGCGGGCTATAAAGGGTGGTGATTTATCCTATTGTGTTCCTGATTGTATTGATTGGGATAAAGGATAGGGATTGATTTGATGAGTTGTTTGCTCAATTATGAAAATGAGAATGTCTATGAGTCATTAGAGAATCAAAGGCTGCGATGAAATGATATCAGGAAGATTTAATGACCCAGAAATTGAATCAAGGGCAACCCAACAGCAAAAATAAAGATGAGAAAACACTTAAGAAAGCCACAAAAACAGACTTCCAGTTCACCAATGGCAAACAGTAGGGCAAAGGAGGATGAAAAGTCTGATA